GTCTTCTGCCAGATATAAAATAGGTCCTTTATATGGTATTTTCTACCATTGCCTTGCTACTTTTAGGTTCCTCTCTTTCTCCATGACCTTTGAGAGTTTGATTATGATATGCTCTAAAGTAGCCTTATTTAGGTTGAATATGCTTGGTGATCTTTGACCTCCTATACCTATATATTTATATTACTTTTGAGGCATGGAAAGTTTTATCTCTTATTTTTTTTCTTAGAATAAGTGTCTTCTTTTTTTTTTTTTTCCCTACTCCCTCTTTAAGGCCAATGATCTTCTGATGCTAGCCCATTGATATCCTAAGCATTCTTCTTGTAATTTGCTTAATTTTTTTCTACACATTATAATTTTTAAAAGACTTTGAACTCATTTATTTTTTCTTCTCCTTGATCAAATATAATTTTGATATCCTACAATGAAATATTCATTTCATGTTTAGTATTTTCACCTCCGGGATTACTGAATAACTTTTTTAAATTTCAGCTTGTTTGTTAAATTTCTCTTATAAATTTATTAATTGCTTCTCTTGTGATTTATTCAAGTTTATTCAGCTTTTCTAAAAACAGCTCTTTTAGATTCCTTATCTTAGCTAAAGGTCATACAAATCATGTTTTCTGGATCATTTACTGACATCTTCTTCTGTCAGCTTTGTCAGTTATATTTTCCTGAATTTTCTTAATGTTTATTGATGTCAGCCAATACCTGGGATTATTGGTGCACTTTTATGATAGCATATTTAAAATCTATTTCAGTTAATTCCAACACCTAATTTTTCTCCATGTTGGCATCTGTTAATTGTCTTGACATACATAAGTTGTGATTTCTCTTTCTTTTATTTGTATGACTTATGATTTTTTTATTGTACTGTCATTTTTTTCATCTTATGAGACTCTAAGTTCTACTTAAACTTACCTTGCATTCATTAGAGAGTATCCCTGTTGTTTTGAACCTGAAAGTCTGGTTGCTTATGTATTTTTAACTTCTATCAAGTTCCCCTAATACCATTTTTGCAAAATGAGAGCATTGACTCACATTGCTTCATTGTACATAGATGGTATGGAAGTTTAGCTCTCATCTCACATTTTCTGACATCATGGTGAAAGTGGGGTCATAACTTATATGACCTCATTACCTCAAGGTGTGAGTGAAGGCTCATCTGACAACTAGGACCTATTGACACCAAGGGTATGGAGAAAGTTGAGTACCATCTAGCACCAGAATGTTCTACATTGTTCATTCTCATTGACTGTTAAGGGAATTAAAGCTCAGCTACTATGTTTCATTGACTCTAGGGGTATAGATAACCCAAGTGCCAACTAGTCCTGCCTTGATTTGCCTTGCTCAATCTCATTGCTACCAGATTAATATAGCAATCACTAACACTACTTCAAACAACCAAATTAATGTGTAGAAAAATAACCATTACACCTCACTGGCACCGTCCTGACAAAGGAATAAAAACACCACTTTTCCTTGCGTGATGGGGTATCAGCTCTTTGTTTGGGATCACTTAACACTAATCTTCCAGCAGAATCAGAACACTACCTGTTTCTCCTAGATGGGACAGGGATGATCAGCTCTCCACTTTATATGGCTAACATTACACTGTTGGAAGAATTGAAATGCCATCTGCTTCCAATGGTAGTGGATGGACCTATCAGTTCCCCATATTAAGCAAAGAACAAGTTAGACTAGTTGTTAATTAATCTTGTTCCTCATAACAAACCATGCTTCCTATTTCTTAGCATAATATAGTCTGACATCTAGTCACAAACTTCTGACCAGCTTGTCCTATCTTCTACTCACACATCCTACTGTGCTTTTCTTCCAACTGTTTTCTGCTTAATCAAAAAAGACCTTACTGCTCTGCCACCCTCTGACTATACTCCTTTTGTTATTTTACCCTTTCAGGTAGTCTCCCCAGATGTAAAGAGTCACTATCTCTTTGCTTCATTTGCACCTGTTTTATAGCATGTATCATAATATTTTTTATACTGGAATTAATAGCATTTACCCCCGCCTTTGTCACACTAGTTATGAATTATCATTGTATCTCCTAAATCTATTGTCAATAATTTTTATTTAACCAAAAGCCAGGCTTTCAGAAACCTCCAGCATTTGTATGACTGCTCTAAAATTGGCTATAAGAGACAAGATCCTGCCACAGTACTCCTTGATTTATACTCAGCCCCTGATCAAATAAGGATTAAGTGTAAATGGAGGAAAGGTTTAAAGGCATGGATCCAGGTGGTTTGTAGACAAACATGACAAAAGGAAAGAGCTTGTTTTCAGTAAACAACTAGGTAGACTAATTATGAGACTACTGAGTTCTTACCAAGATCATGTGGTAAGAGATTTCTGTGCATTTATCTAATTTAATATTTATGCCTATGCTTTATGATAGGTTTCATTATTATTCACACACACTGGAAGTTATTGGTGAAAACAGTTCCCAGATCCCTTTGTTTCAATGTGTTCTCCTAAGCATTTTCACGCTTATAGATACATGTATTTGCAGGATCAGTACTCTGGGTGTATTGAAAAGATAAAGCTGCCATGGGAGGATTCACCAAAACTTCTGTTTTCAGAAACTTGTGTAAGACTACTTGTTTCATCGGGGAAGATTTCTTTGGATTTGAATAGGATATCTGATAGCACATATTTATTAATTTAACAAATATTTATTGAATACCTATTCTGTGTTAGATTCTTGAGATGCTAATAAAATTCCTTTCTTAAGTGAGTTTATTATCTAATGAGACACATATGTGCAATGTAAACATCATGTCAGTGTCATAGGATCCTTTAAATTTATAATAATGTTAGTGAATATTCTTAACTCCAGACTTACAATTTTAGAGAATAAAGGGATTTGGAAGTTCTTTCATCTTTTCAGGCTGCTTTGTGGAATTGTAAGCAAGAATTCCTTTGAAAGGTGTAACCAAAGTCCTTGTGAAATTTTTGTCCCACATTTGTGTGCCCTGTGGGTGGTCTTTTTCTCTCTACTGTCAACTTCTTTTCTAAGCAAACACAGCTTGGTACATCTTGGTCTGGGGAATTATTTGGGGGACATTACTCATGGAACATAATGGCAAGACATTTGCACATACTCACCTTCTGACTTTGAGTGTTCCTATGTAGGTTGTATGTATGTGTGAATATGTATACAACACTATGTCATTCTAAAGACTTTGGAAATAACTTTTTATAAATATGGTTTTCTTGCTTTCTTTAAATTACTTTTTCATGATATAGTATTGGAGAGTTATCTTATCTCCATAGTACTTAACCTGGGAAACATGGTACATTGAGGGATCATCACATATTCTGGACAGCCAGCCATTAAACCGCAAGAGGACTGAATTTTTCTGTCACTGATCTGAAATGTGGAGGCAACAAATACAATGTATTGCCAACTCATATCTCTTGCCCCTGATTCCTTCCATTCCAAATTAATCATTTGCCTTTATTACTAATGATGATAGAGGCCTTCTCTTTTCACCAGTGAAGGGTGGCAGAGTAAGAATAAAAGGCCTAGATTACCCTAGATTTTGACATCTTATAAGTGGGATACATTTCTAAAAGTTGTGCAGAAATTCTCATTTAATCCACACAGCAGCCTGTGACTTGAGGTAAGCAAAATTACGGACATTTTCTTTTCTATCTTTCATACTTTCCATATAAACATACATTATTTTTATAATCAGAAAAATAGCAAGTATATGCACACAAAGAACCCTTTCTTTTTTCTCTCTACAATATTGTGGCAATTTTGCTTAAATATTCTGCTTTTTCAAACATTGTTCGTATCTCATGTGTGTACCTCCATGTCATTAAATATTCTTTGAAAACATGGGTTAGACAAGGTCAATAAATTCATAGATGAAAACAAAAGAGTTTTATTATTTATTCTTCTGTCATAGACCACTTAGGATAAATAATAAACCATCAAAGGCATGTTATGAAACCATTAAAAATCATGTTCTCAGAGTATTTACTAATTTTGGAAAATGCTCATGACATAAATGAAAAACAGGAAGTTAAGGAAGTATGAAAAATATTACCAATTTTGTAAAATATAAGCACAGATTTATCAATGAGGGAAACAACAATATTTGTGGACATTTTGGTGTTGTCTGGATGATAAAGTTAGTTTGTTTCACAGAATTTTAGAAAATCTCCAAATTGTCAGTACGTGTCCTTTACCTTCAGAAAAGAAATATTAAAAAATAATTATCAAACATTCAGAAAAGAAATATTAAAAATAATTATCAAGAACGATCATTCGGCAAATATAAAGGAGAGTTTGAATCAAGATGGTGGACTGTACACAGGCTTTTTTCTTCTCTGGTCTCAAATCCCGTAAACTGAAAGAAAATGATTCATATATACATTCTCTGCTCTCTCTTTCTCTCTCTGTCCCTCTCTCCAGTGTCTATGTTTTGAATATTAGAAAAGAAAAAAAACTGTTTGTGAGGAATTCCTAGAAGATACAAAGCAGATGGAGCTGCTGTAAAGGACGCTGGCAGGCAGCAGGCGGCCACAGAGGCAGAGGAGGGGAGCCAGCTTGTCTGCCTGTGGAATGAGGGAAGAGGTTGGGGGTGGGGGCACAAAAGTAAATGAAGGAGAGAGCAGCTGTGCCTGTGCAAAGTAAACGTGAGCACGCGCGCTGACCAGCCTAGCTGTAGCCCCTGGAACGGAAGGCGGGATGGTGGTGGGGCGGGGCGAGGCACGGGCGGGCTTAGAATGGGCGGGTTTCCCAAGAGGCAAAATCCCGGGCGCCAGAGCAAAGCCAAGCAGGCTAGCGCTGGGAAACTCAGGCCGCGTGAACTCCTCAGAGAGTTGCTGCAGCTTGCGCTTTTGCAGCTGCAGTCATCTCTTTTATCGCTTGCCTACCTCCCTGGTCATCTCCACTGTCGCGGTCCTCAGCTGCAGCAGCATCTACAACAGACAGCTAAGTGGCGGATTTGGGGACTTGAGGTCGGGAGTTGGGGTGGGCGCAAGGCGCGGAGAACACACGGGAGCCCGCCATCTCCTGCGGCATCCTTCACTGCTGCAGTCACCCTTCCTGGCTGGAGAGGAAAGCACTGTCGAGAGGCACACGGTGTCCCAGAATCCATGGTTACAGTTAGAGTGTTTCTGCCAAGCCCCGGTGAGAGTCTTGTGATTGGAGAAGAAAGCCCAGGCCGGGTTTCAGAGACTGCGGAAAAAAGATCTCATACTGGATAGCATTGACTTTTTGTCACCTTAATCCCTGAGCCATGTCTCCTCCCACTGTGCCTCCAATGGGGGTAGACGGCGTGTCTGCATACCTGATGAAGAAAAGGCACACTCACAGGAAGCAGCGGCGCAAACCCACTTTCCTCACTCGTAGGAACATTGTGGGCTGCCGCATTCAACACGGCTGGAAGGAAGGCAACGAGCCCGTGGAGCAGTGGAAGGGCACTGTGCTAGAGCAGGTTTCAGTGAAGCCTACTCTTTACATCATTAAATATGACGACAAAGATAGCGTGTATGGACTAGAACTGCACCGAGATAAGAGAGTTTTAGCGCTAGAAATCCTTCCTGAGAGAGTGCCAACTCCTCGCATCGATACACGCCTGGCAGATTCTCTGATTGGTAAGGCAGTAGGGCATGTATTTGAAAGTGAGCACGGTACGAAGGATGAATGGAAGGGTATGGTTCTGGCGCGAGCCCCTGTGATGGATACTTGGTTTTACATCACCTATGAGAAAGATCCTGTTCTCTATATGTACACGCTGCTGGATGACTACAAAGATGGTGACCTGCGTATCATTCCAGATTCCAATTATTATTTTCCTACCGCAGAACGTGAACCTGGAGAGGTGGTCGACAGCCTTGTGGGCAAGCAGGTGGAGCACGCCAAAGATGACGGGTCCAAGAGAACCGGCATTTTCATACATCAAGTGGTGGCCAAGCCCTCTGTTTACTTCATTAAGTTTGATGATGATATTAACATTTACGTCTATGGTTTGGTAAAAACTCCCTAAATTTATCATGCTCTTTGCAAAAGTTGTGGAGCTATTATATGTAAATTGTTTTGTGTTCTTGTAGAACTTTGAGAACAGTTTTGATGTCTAAAATTCAGGAAAGTAAATAAATCTTATTGAGCCTCCAGAAAATCTTACGTGACTAGTTCCACAGTTTTACCTCAAGTGTACTTTGATACTTTTGATATTGCTTTGTTCTGTAACTGTTAAATTAGGTACTAATATAAAGTTAAAAAGTGTTTTCAATCATTGGAACAATTCAAAAATAGGTAAAGAAAAATCAATGGTATAATTCCACACCTTGTCCTTCTTCCCTCTCTCCTTACCTTGCCCCTTTCTTCTTCCACAGCAAGTGTTGAGGGCATGATGTATATCCTTCCACAAAATTTCCCTATCTTCATACATGAAGTTTGTTGTAGTTTTTGTAAAATGACAAGCGGCATGCATTTTTCTGTAATTGCTTTTCTTACCTGGCATATAATGACATCTTTTCTGTTCAGTAGCTGCTTTCTGTCTCTGTCTCTGTCTCTGTCTCTTTCTCTCTCTCTTCCCTCTTCCTTCCCTCTCTCCCTCCCTTTTTTCCTCCAACAACTGCATACACAGTACATGTGGATGTACCAAAAAGTATTCAACCATTTCGTTGATGGTCATTTCTTTCTTTTTTTTATTTTTTTCCATTATAACACTGCTGTAGTACATACCAGTGCTTTTATTTCTAGAGATTGGATTCCCAGAAATGCTAGGTAGGCATAAGTTTAATTGTAAGAAATATTACAAGATTAACATCCAAAATGAAAGTGCCCATTTCCAGCATCCTACCCAGTACTTGCTAATGCTTGAAAATACACAAAGTGATAAATTGCGTGGTATTGTTTTCTATCTTAATTATCTTTTTTCTACTATTCGGACATTTTGTGAATGGTGAATTCTTATCCTTTGATTATCTACTGAATTACTGATTTTTTTCCTTATAAATGTGTAAGAATTCCTAGTATATAGTTCTTATTGATCATTTATAGCTCTAATGTGCTGATTTTATTATATCATTTATCTTGATTTTATTGGTGATATCCTTTACTTTATAATGTTTAAACTTTTTAGGTAGACCACTATTTTCACAGCATTTCTGTTTCCTGTCTTGTTCAGATGGATGTATGCACCCAAAGTCATACAAACATTCACCTGCATTTTATTCTATTGATGTTATTATTTCAACATATTAATATTTGATCCATCTGAATTTTATTTTTATATATGGTAAAAGATAAGGATTCTACCATAAACAATTGGATACCCAATTGTGACATTTATTTTAAAAATCACCCATTTTCAAATTCCTGAGCCAATATCAATCACAGTTTTAATTATAGTGGCTTGATCGTAAGTTTTAGAATCTTATAAATCAAATCCTCCTTTATTGTTTTTTTTTCCTTCTTATAATTTTGTCCTAGACATTCATTCTTTCATACAAAAAATTAAAACAGTTATCTACCTTTAAAAAGTCTGATGTCTTAAGAATTGTATTACATAGCTGCATTTCTGTCTAAGAAATTATTTAACAATATTAATCCTTAATTCTCAAGACTTTTAATAATATCATTGAAATCCATTGGTCTCATTTTTGTAATATTCTTCATGTAAGTCCCTCATAGCCAATTGAAAATATTTCTAGGAAATTTTATAGTTTGTCACACTTTGGCAATTATGTACTTTTCCTCTTCATTTGTAACTTGTTAATTTTGGCAAAATAGCAAACTATAGATTTTTTTATTTTTATTTTCTATCTAATGACATGATTTAATCATCCAGATTTCCTGGGTTTTAAAAAATGGAATATATTGGACTTTCTAGATATAAAATTATTTCACCTTCAACTAGAGATCACTTTATTTCTTCTAACATTTATGCTGATTATTATTACAATTAGATGGACTTCAAAAAAATGATGAATAATACTGATAAAAAACATTCATGTCTTGTCTTTAAATTCTCATGAAAATTTCTTCAATATTCCATATTAGCATGATATTTTCTGTTGATCATGAGCAAATAGTGATAAACATGTTTAGGAGTTTCTTCTGCTTCTGTTTTACATAGTGTTATTACTAGAAAATTGACTCCTAAATTTTATCAAATGACTTTTCAGCATCTGTTAGTAAAATTATGTTGTTTTTTAAACTTGTTGATGTAATGAATTATAACAATAGGTGTTTGATGTTGAACCAAATCTGTATTTCTGGAATGAATCCTACTTGCTGCATTACTAGATTTTATTTACCAATATTTTATGTACAATTATTACATTTTCATTCTAAAGTGAAATTTTTTTTTTCCTTTCTTACTTTGTCATTATCAAGTTTTGTTATTGAAGTTATGCTCACTTTAAAAAATACAAATTGAGTTTTCAGTTTTTTCCTATGGTTTGGAATGGTTTAACTAGCATTAGAATTATTTGTTCTTTAAAAGTTAGCTAGTGCAGAGCTATAAAACAATCTAATCCTGATGACATTTTTCATGGTACATCCTTAACCAGCTTTGTGATTTCTTCAGTAGTAAAATTTTTTAAAAGGAATGTATATTTTCTGTGAACTACAAAGTTAAAAAATTTCTCATTATCCAGCTTGTCAATAGTACTATTCAGATGCTTTGTGCCCTGTGCGTTTGTACTATGCAGATGCTTTATGTTCTATATGTTTTATGTAAACTAGTTCTGAAAAAATTGTAATAAAATTATGAGCTATAATGATGTTTTAAAATGTTTGTATTCTTTTATTTTTATAAAATTAAAACAAAATATAGGAAAACATGACAAATATTTGTTTACCTCCACCCAAAATTAACAAATGTCAACTTTTTGAAATATTTTGATTTAGATAGATATTTGTATTTTTAAACAATCAGAGCATTACAGATAATAAATATCTTTCCCAGAATCATTCCACTTCCTTCCTCTGCATAGGAAGACACTATAATTAGTTTGGTATGAATCTTGTCCATGCTTGATACTGTTACTACAAATATAAACATAACCAATAACAATATTGTTTTTTGTATGTTTAAAATAATTTTAATATAAATGGTATACTTTAAATCATGTAGAACTTCTTTTGCTTTCTTTGTAAGGACCATTTTTTTTCCCAATTAGAAAACAGATTACAATAATAGAAGCAACCAATAGCACTTACCTTAGAATACTATACTTTTCTAGTCACAGCACTGGGGCCTGAAGCAAAAACACAAGAAGCCCAATTCTCGCAGAACTAGTATGGAGCAAGTACATTGGGAGGCATATACACATGACCCACCCCTGACCGGCCTTATGTTGCCACATGATGATATTGGGGCTATTCCTAATTCTGAAACTATTTTAAAAGTTTGGGACATAGCAGGGGACAAAATAAAATCTTCCCTTTCTTAAATAACAATGATAACAACAACAACAACAACAACATAGATATATAGTATGGCTTTCTAGCTCCTGCTCTCACATTAGGGCCCAAGTCCTAAACGACACATTACATTTCTCAAAATGACAGGACCTGGGAATAGAATTTTGTCTGGATAGTTCAGACAAAATGTACAGCATACATCCTAATGGGGAAAAGAAGACAGCCATCACCATTCTTACACTCCTGGCCCATAGGCTTTATTTTGTCTCATAGTGATTTGAGATATTCTGCAACTTGTAATTCAGAGCAAGGTTTGACTTCACTTTTAACTCTGTTTTAGAGGCTCAGAATGCCAAAATGTGAAAATATAAGGAAGACAGAAAAAAGTCAACATAAAGTAACTGTGTTTACCAGCTATTGCTTTATCCTCTGATTTTTTAGACTCCTGAACAAGAACAAAGTTGAAAATTGTTCCATGGTAATACTATTGATATCACATCAGCATATTTGAGTCAGAGGGAGGCTTACTTTTGACCAGGCAGTGAACAAACTGTTTAAAGTCTCCACTCTTTTGGAGCTTACATCCTATTTTGATGAGACAGTCATCCCTTCTTCCACAGGCTCCCAGGGCAGATTCAGGTCTTACATTGTTGCCTACTGATGTTAGAGTTTCTGACACTCTTTTAAGACGGAGAAATTGCCAGGAACAAAATCTTTGTTCCCATAGTACTTACAAATTACATCATAGTGAGTGGAAGAATGTTTATCTCCTTCCTCAAGCTGTGATGTGTGCTTCAAAAAATTAAGCAAGCCATGTAACCAAAGTGACAGGGTTGTGTCTTGAGGGTGCATGTTTTGTATAGGTGGACAGAAAAGGCCTCCTGGAAAAGATGACATATGAATAGACACCTGAATAAAGTGAGGGAGCAAATCATGCTGCTGATACCTTGAGATAGAATGTGCCTTGAGGTTTTCAGTAAGAGATTAGTGTGGCCAGATTGGAAGTGAGCAAGGAGGAGAATAGTAGGGGAAGATTTTTGTATAGTCTTATTACCATTAGGAATTTGGATTTTAGTGAGTAGGAAATTGGAAGTCACTACTTTTGAGCCAAAGCATAAAATTTCTTCTTAGGTTGAATAATCTTATTTAAAATGCCTCTTTCATAATCTAACAAGACCTCATTTCTGTTTGGATTATTCAGACCATGTATCTTTTTTCTTTTCATAACTCTGGAGAGTTCATTTCCTCTGACTGTATTCATGCTCTGGCTCTGCCACATTGCTGACTTTGAATTTTGCCTTCAGATAAGAAACTTGGAGGAAGAAGAGGTCAAAATGGAACGTTTAAGTTTTTGTAGCTCCAGTATTCCACCGCATATTCTTAAATGATATGGAGAAAATGTCAGAGACTATGGCAAAGGATCCTAGCTGGGAGATTACAGGAGCAATTCACACATAAATTTTGCAGTTAATACGTTTAGACATGAATAGTTAACATGTGCTGTGAGGATTAATTCATATTATGGCTGATTAACTCTGTAAGGAAAGTGACTACATAGTAATAAGAGGAATAAGGGCTAACTTACAAACATAGCTGTAAAATGCTCCTTCA